CTGTTTAATACTTTTACATTAGCTAAGAACTAATTTATACTAACTTCCTTTTTATATACAAAAAATAGTCATAGGATCTTAAAAAGTTGTATAATTATGTTATTTGAGATTCTACAGTATGTGTAGCTTTTATGTCACATTTGTTATTTTCACCTGAGGATGCCTTAACATTAGGCCTACAGGAAATTAGCATAATACCTTTGTTCTCTGCAAAAGGCTACACAAGTGATCTCCAGAGGTGTTTTTCTGATTCTGAAATCTCTAATTCTTGGATTGCCTTATGCAGAGGGGTTTGGGTTTCCAAAACAAAGTACCATAAACTGGATGACTTGAAAACAGCAGAAATTTATTTCTCATAGTTCTGGAGGCTGTAAGTCTTAGATCAGGGTGCTAATATGGTTAAGTTCTGGTGAGGACCCTCTTTGGGGTTGCAGATGGCCATCTTCTTGCTGTGTTCTCACACAGAAGAAAGAGAGTGAGCTAGCTCTCTGGCCTCTTTTTATAAGGGTACTTATCTCATTTATGAAGGTTCTACCTTCATGACCTAATCACCTTCCAAAGGACCCATCTCCTAATACCACCACCATGGGGGTCAGGATTTCAACATAATTTTTGCGGGGGCACATTCAGTCCATAACAGAATCTTTCCTGTTATTATTTTAGAATGACTTGGACTCTTTCCAAGTCCATTTGGGTTAGGATTCTTATCCAGCCTGGAGGCAGAGCAGTAGCCTGTATGGCCTATCACATTCCCTTTGGTCTGGGACTCTGGTAACTTGTAGAACTCTTATTTATAATTATTGTCTAATGCTGGGATTCTCCACAGAGTGCTGCTTGGAGAAATTTAGCCTCTTAGAGACAGTTGCAATAAAAGAATCCTATCAAAAAGTATTCACTGAATTGTGATCACAAACAAAATAACTTTGTGGGGACAAAATGTACTCCAACAAGGGAGGCTTATGTTTGTTTTTCAGCCTCTCCTCCCAGTGCTGCACTTCTAATCTCTCTGCAGAAAGAAACATTTCAACAGAGAACCCAGTGGAAATTATGACATATTACCTTCTCAGAGTCCTGAACTCTCCCATCCCTGCCTCAGAAGAGACTCCTCTGTTCACAGAAGCTAAAGCCAGTTCCTTCCCAATGGCAGCTATGTTTGGATGTTGGATCTACACTTTCTCAAGCACTGTGATCTTCAAATGTAAGTTTAGTAACATAAATATCTTTCTGCAGCCTGAAAGAATTTTATGTATCTGTGTTATAAGGTAATGTTACAGTATCTTGTATTTTGCTGGTAACATTTAGAATGTTAATCTCATAAGGAGACTTTAGAGTTACAGTTAAATTGCTATATCTGGGTTATATGAGACTCCCTTATTCTGGAAAAAGCAAAGTTCTTTCTATAAGCGTGTGTTCTCATACAGACCGGGAGACTTAGAAAAGAGTAGGAGCATCATTAGTTTTCATTTTGTAGGTGGGAACAACAAAGCATGGAGAGACAAACGTATTTGCCAAAATAGTTACTCTCAACTCCTTGTTTTGGGCATTCTAGAGTGTTTCATAGGATTTTAAAGTACCTCACAAAATTGTTCTAAATTTCTCGAAGCCAAATTCATTTTAATTGACTTTAATTTTTTTTTTAAAGTTACAACATTCTTGGGGGTAGGCTAGGTAAATTTTATAAAAGCAATGCAAACAATTGTTTTGCTTAGAACCAGTGAAATGTCAAAACTCCAAAAATGTTTGGGAAGCAGTGGATTAGTCAGTAGCATAACAAGGAATAAAACAACCCAGATCAGGTGCAGAGAGGCATAAACTCTTGACTCATCCTCCATGGATCTATATTTGTAAAGGCAGAATCTTGTGTGACAGTATGTCTAAGGATATGTCTCTTCTGGACAGGGTTTTTACAGTACTTGAGAATGATCCTAACAACCTTTTGGGGTGACTCAATTTTTTTCACTGCTAGAGAAGTAAAAAAAAACAATATTGATACAGTTGAACAGTTAGAAATTTAGCTTAGCTGAAGCATAGTATCATAATGGTAGAATTATGATCCTGTGCTAAGATCTGTGGGTTTGGCCAAATTAAGACAAGTGAAAACAGAAAGATCAGTTCAGAAACTTGCAACAGTTTCCATAAAAAATGTTATGGCCGTTGTCCAACTTTATTGTGAACTCTTTTATTGCACCAGCGTTTAAAAGCAGATAAGCTGTTACCTTTTGAATCCACAGGCTGCCTAGTTATATTGGTTAAAATCTCTTCCAGCTCAAGTTTTTTAAAAAATCTTTTGCCTTGACTTCCAAAGGCACTTGTTAGGAATCGACTTCTCAAGCTGCGTAAAGTACTTTTGGGAGAATCAAGTCTATGTTGTTCCATGAAGCTCTTAAGTCCAGAGTAACTATCTTTAGTTGATCTTACCAAAAGCAAGAGCATCATTTCAAACAGACCAAGTGTGAGAAATTTAACCCACATGTCCTTTCAGACCTGGTATGTGTGAGGTTGAGCAATGATTCCATTTTGATGTTATTGAAAATGGAGGGATTTCCCTGCACTAAGTTTCACAGCCACAATCTGACTTATATTTGAAGGGTGAAAGATAAAGCTGTGTTCTTTTGATCTGAATTTTTCTGTTCTTAAAAGTTTTTTTCTAAGAACACTAGTCAGTACCTGGAGACACTCTGTAATATTTAAATAATTAATTTGCTTTAATGAAAAAAGTTGTTTCTTTAAACATTTAAATAATTACTTTTTCTTTAGTGAAAAATTAGTTTGCTTTAATGAAAAAAAAGTTTTTTTCGTAACTGTCATTACATGAACCTTTAGTAAAGGAGATTTTTCCCATTATATACTTCTTATGATCAACAAGTTCCATCATCTCCCCACTAAATAAGAGAAAGTACTCACAGATGATAGAATGATTTTAACATTATGGGACAACAGTGTCCACAGGAACCTTGAGTAAGTACCATGAACCCTGACCCTCAGGGATAATTTGTAAGCCCTTGGCAGTGAGATGGAACGTCTTCAGTTTGAAACAAAGGAAACCTATTACATCACAGGGAAATTTGTATATTGGTGCTATATTGACTTTGTAGCTGCCATGCCTTTATACAGACACTTCATCTGGTCCCCACTGTTTCCACTTATTGTGATGGTTTGTATATCTTTATTTCAAAGATCTGTTTGAAACAGGTTTAATTTCTTCCTTGACCTGCTTTCATCACTGCCATGAGACTACCACATCCATGCCACTAGGTGGCATTCTCATCCATGAGACTACCGCACTCCTGCGTACTTCAAGAAGTAGCTAAGCCATGGGCTGGGTTGTGCTTTTCCTGAGAGGATGAAAGGCTTCATGGATACATGCTAGTATCCATATTCCTCTATTCCCAAGTTATGCACCAAGATGATATTTCATACCCGACTGCCTTTCAAAGTCTCGTAAATGTTCATTCAATATCGACTCTATGCAAGACACTGGGGTAGTCATAGAGGCAAGCTTTGAGCTAAGCTGCAGGCCCTGCCCTCCAGGAGCTCCCAGTCTCATGGCAGGGTGCAGACATCCAGAATAGAGGGCCATGGCATGGGAGAGAAGTTTTCTGACTGGGAGCTCTGAAGGTTTAGGGGTCCATAAGCCTGATTTATGGGGTTGTTGGCATAGGATCAGGGGCTCCCTGGCATAAAGTGAATGCAGACACTAACATCCCTGTATTATTTTACTGAGAGTGTACCAGTGTTCAGCCTCTAAGACCAGGGGAGGAAACCAGTGGCCATGAATGTTCCCTCCCATCCCAGGGACTAACTAGGCTCCTCCCACAGTGTCAGACACGGGATGAAGTATACTCACACTGCCCCAACACCAGCGAGTGGAAATATTTATAGGTCTCTCATTTGGTTTTAATTTTTTTAAATTGCATTTTAGGTTTTGGAGTACACGTGAAGAACATGCAAGATTGTTGCATAGGTATACACATGGCAGTGTGATTAATGCCTTCCCCCCCATCACCTATATCTGGCATTTCTCCCCATGCTATCTCTCCCCAGCTCCCCACCCCCTGCTGTTCCTCCCCTATTTCCCCCCAACAGACCCCAGTATGTGATGCTCCCCTCCCTGTGTCCATGTGTTTTCATGGTTCAACACCCACCTGTGAGTGAGAACATGCGGTGTTTGATTTTCTGTTCTTGTGTCAGTTTGCTGAGAATGATGGTTTCCAGGTTCATCCATGTCCCTACAAAGGACACAAACACATCGTTTTTGATGGCT